GATAGCTTGTCTTGGCTGATAGTATTCTAGCTCAGCGTTCACAACTCCTTGCCACCGGAGACAACCAGCTCAATGGAATCAAATCCAAACTAGCACTGTAGGGAGATGATAATCGAGCGGAAGTGCATAGGAAGGCGTGTCCAGGCAACCTGGGGTAAGTACTATCCCTTAATCATTAATCATCAACCAATAATGTTCCTTCTAGTAATGCCTCTGTATCTTTTGCCTGATGTGTGAAGAATGAACAAGCAATGTTCTGGGTTGTTGTTATTATTCAGGAAGGGTGAGAGATAATGGAAAGTTCACAGATTTTAAAGGGGTGGTTCGGAATTTTGGACATCGGGGCTCATTTCCAGGTGAGCCTTATTGTTATTTATCAGTTTTCAAAAAATTTTATCCAGTCATTCAAGTTGCATAGTTCGCCGGTGCTAGGCTAGCGCGAGTCAACGGTATCTGCTAGCCTGCCATTAAAAACAGTTTTACCCATTTCACAGTTCACCAAAAGCAAATAAATTATAACGCCAGACTATCGATGTAAATGTCTGTTGAGAGAATAATGTTAGAAATCAAATTACCCTTTCATTGCATTGCAATAGTTATTTTGTTCCTTGTATTTATTAGCACAGTCTACAGCAGCGGCGGAGTGATATTCAGTTACCTAGGCAACCGAGACTACTACTAGCTAGCTAGACGTCCCGACTGTAGTCCGCTTCTGTTCTGTGTTTACTTTTCGGTGCAGTACTACTAACCGGAGCAAAGTAAAATCCCGCCGCTGCTGAGAAACTAGTTCCTGTAAATGTATTGCGATCATTGAGATGCAAGAGTAGTTTAATTTCTAACATTATTCTCTCAACAGACATTTACATCGACAGTCTGGCGTTATAATTTATTTGCTTTAGGTAAACTGTGGAGTGGGTAAAACTGTTTTTAATGGCAGGCTAGCAGATACCGTTGACTCGCGCTAGCCTAGCACCGGCGAACTATGCAACTTGAACGACTGGAAGAAAATCTTTGAAAAATGTCTCTACTGATAAATAACACTAAGGCTCACCTGGAAATGAGCCCCGATGTAGAGTCATGTTGAGGTGAGTTGAACTGGTACCATTCAGTAGAAAAGGGACTATACACAGGGGTGCACATAACTGGTACGCAGGTACGCATGCGCGACATAAATCAGAAATGCGTAATGCCACTTGTGTTATTACGCGCCTTTGCGTACTTAAAGGGTAACTGTCGCCAAAATGCAACCTAGGGTCTTTTTGTTAATCTACCCGAGGCAAACTTTCATTTAAAAGCATAATTAGAATGGAAACGCCACTTTTAAGTTTGACCGTATTTTCGTTTTCGGTCAAATTGCCTATTGAATGGGAGAGCTAGGGGCACGTATATGATAGCATCAAAAATCGCTATTTTTAAAACACTAAGAAGGCTCGACACAACATGAAACTTTGCTGGAAGTATCACCTGGGGCTCTACACATGAACTCGAGCATTGAGAACATTGTTTGTGTACACAGAGTTTTCTAAAAAGAAAGATAGTGAACAACTCACTGTAGCTGTGTCCGCCGGAACAGTAACACCCGCATTTTGTCAGTCAAAAATAGTCGATCTCCGAATGCGAACTGAACTGACTCTGAATTTTAGTATTGTTTCTTATATCCTTTTTCAAATACGAGGTCAATATTGTTTTTCACTTACGAGAAAACAACAAATTATCCGTAAATTTATATGGAACTAAGCTTTAGGAGCTTTCCATCTTTACTCTCCTCCCTGTTAAGTTGCATTCGGAGATCGACTATTTTTGACTGACAAAATACCGGCTGACACAGCTATAGTGAGTTGTTCAAAATCCTCACCATGAAGTCTAATGAACTAAACAATCAAATTACACTTCAAATTAGTTTTTTCCAAAGATGTTTTCTGTCATTTTAGGTAGTTTTTTTTCGCGCTGATGTAAATTTAAGTGTTCGTTTTTTAAAATAAGTTCGGTCTTTAGTTAGTTATTTGATGCTATAAAAATGGGAATGTGATGTCATGATTGACAGCTGTGATTGACAGGTTCTACACTGAGGAGGACTGCACTTATTAAGACCACGCTACATATGGGGTGAGTACCAAACACCATCTCCTGGTACTCACCTGAGTAACTCACTGAAAAAGTTATGTGCACCCCTGACTATACATATGTTAGTGAGAAAAAAAACTCCAAATTTGACTTACACCCCATTCTGATGTTCTCTTTCAGCTTCTCCACTCCCTTTATCTCCTTACGAAGAGACGTGATGTGCTGAGACATCTCCTTCACCAGGATACTCTGCTCCTCCTCAAGGCGTCTAACTAGCATCATTTGGTCAAAAAGAGACCGTTTTAACCTGAAGGAGCGACCTTTAAGTAGAGGGAATTGATGGAAAAAGTGATTTAGTATTTATGATGATTAACCTGTTAAGCTTCAAGCCCATTTTTGAAAAATCCCCAGATATGGCATTCCCAAACTGAAACAGATACAGTTCATGAACCCTTTGTACTAAAAGCACAAGTAAGATCTCATTTGAAAGCTGACACCTGGAAGTTTATTGTAAATGTAGAATTAATTATTGTCATAATGAAAAAAAATAGTTATAAATAGCTTCAAAGTTTTGTAAAGTTATTATACATTTATTTTTATGAAACATCTTCATGAAAATAAAATTGAAGTTGGCATTGTAGCAATCTAGAAATGCACTGCAGCTAAAGCCACATGTCTAACCATGTTATATTTAAAATCTGAAGATGATAAGTCTAAAACTCTGTATTTAGTTCAATGTTTTTCAAGATCATGTCATATGACTTTATTTTGGTTAGACTGGTGTTTATTGTCATCTTATAAGCATCTATTCAGTCTATTGCCTCTATTGTTTTGTGATGCAAAAACGAGTCCCATTCAGTCTCAGGCTCCCCTGCACATATTCACACCTCTCCAGCCTGTTTATTGCTCTAAATATGCTTTTCTTTTGTCTGCATTATAATCACTAACGACTAGCAATTCACACTGTTTCAATCCCTCATTTATTTTATAAAAGTTCTCACTTCACAGTGAAACTGTATCAAATGCCCTTTTTGAAAAACGAAACATTTCAGTAAGCATTCTTATTTAGAAAAAAAATCATAAAAATTACATCGAAGTTAGGTAGCAGGTGCTCAGTACTAGCTAGCATGTTAGCTTAGCACACCCTCAATACACGACAATTTATGAGAATAAAACTATGTTTGTGCTCCAACTTACTTTATAGCGCAAGTCGAGTGTTTTAAATAACTTTCTGTAATCTGATTTGGCTTCAGATAAAAAAATCAGATAGAAAATATATTATTTTATTGTATTCTGCACAATTTGAAAGTCTATCTCGATTAGCATTACATTATACATATAATCTATTATTATGAAAATACCTGACATGACTCGAAGAACACAGGTAAATCAAATATCATTGCAATCATGTTTATTGTCTTCAAAACATCTTTATCTGCACTTTACAGCGATCTCGGATAGCTTTGTTTATGTGTCAGGACTTCCTGAATGTCACATGATTATGGCTCTTCTTCATGTGATCCATATATGGACTTTACTGTGCAACAGCGCCCCAGACTTCAGTATGAATGGATAACACAGTAAATCAGAGTAAACAGCGCTCAAAATGATTACATCGACGCATTTGGGTATAAATTCAATAAATATTATTCCTGTCTATAGAAGTCTGATGTAAACCTATGAGAATCTATCAATATTTCTCCAAATCTGCACATGTTTGAGCTAAAAGCCCTGAGGGACGTTGTTTTGTGAATCGCTGTCATGACGATCGCACGGGAGTTTTTTTCTGAATGAGAGCAGCTGACGCTCATAATTCATATTAAAGGTAACGACTCATTTTTTTATTTCATAACTCCTGACACAAATTAAGACATAACTGTCACTATAAGTTTCACAGAATACAATAGTGGTCAAATACTGAAACTTGAGTCTTATATCGTTTTAATGATGTATAGTTTGTCAAGTTAATCACATTAAATATGATAGTAACTTTGAACTATTTAAAAAAAAAACGCTTCAGAGCGCCCACGCACTGGTGACGGTTAACAGGTTAAGTTATAAACCCAAACATACGAGAGAGAGAGAGAGAGAGAGAGAGAGAGAGAGAGAGAGAGAGAGAGAGAGAGAGAGAGAGAGAGAGAGAGATTTTGATTGCAATAAAATACTTTTTTTTTTTATAAAAAAAAAATAAAAAGACAGGCATACATTTTAGAGAACATGTCAGGACTACCATACCATCCTCACGTCTCTCCCAAGGCAGGATGTAGTCCTCTGTCAAATTGGAGGCCAACTCCTCGTCAATTGTATCCTCTGCAATTGCATTGTACAGCAGGATCTTTTGTTTCAGTTTTTTTTTTAATTCTCTTATTTTTCTTCTTTTTCTTTGTCTTGTTTGATTGCTATCAGCAAAGTGAAATAAGAAAACTATCAGGAAAACAGTTTTTGTTTGTTTGCATTTACAATGTGCCATTTGAATATTAGTCAACCAACCATTCTGACGATAGAGGTCATGCTTCTTGCGTAGCAGGGCCACTATGATGCTCTCTATCTCAGCCCTGAGATCCTCTGTTGCTCCCTGTTCTGTTGTGCTAACTGGCTCTAAATAGGTAACACAATTAAACGGTTGTTTCATTTAAAAATGTCTGATCACCTTATGTACAGTAGTTCATATTTGAACAAAGTAATTAACAGTTGTATTTGTGAAAAATCTGAGCGCTACGCATGATTTACCTGTGACTGCCCACTGCTGAACATCACCCACCCACTGCTGTGCTGTTTGTTCAGTGATGTCATTCTTCTGGCAGAAATCACTGAAGCTAGCAGCTTCCAGCTTTGCCCTCTCGGAGATCTTTAAATCACACAAAAATAAAAAAAATGTCATGCAAGCTTTCAGCCAATCACGGGATCAAGAAATTCCTTCATCTACAGTTTATAAATGAATGAATGAATGAGCTTATTACAGATGGATGGACTCCAGCTCTGCTGTTTGTTGTTAAAATGTATGTTGTGTCAGGCAAGAGGACCATTGGGAAATGTCCTTACTTTGATGTATCTGCGGGCCAAGACTTTGTGAAGGTTCTCTGTCTTCTTTCTGTTCCACCCCATGGCCTGTTGAGTGAGCATATTCTCTCTCCCTGATTAAAAAAATAAATCTGCATGCGTGATTGGATCAATTTACATGGGAAAGACCATTGCAGTTAGACACAACCTAACACAACAAATACTTTAGTGCAAGGAGAACAGGAAAATTACATTTTAGAAGTCAGAAATACCTCATCACAGAGTATGGTTTGTAATGTGTCATACCAACCTGCCTTTGTCATGTACTTTGTGACAAGAGCTGCCCTGGAGAGAAAGCTGTTTACCTAGATAAACAATACAGAAATTAATGTATTCCTATTTTACATTACCAAAAAACAACAACAAATAAACAAAAACATACTGTATGAACATGTAGCCATGCTTATTGTTGAACTAATATCTTATCGTCAACTAGCTCTCCATCTTAAAATGCCATGGAAACTAAAGCGACCACGCCCTTTCAGCCATAGCCATAGACAGCAAAATAGGAAAGATCAAGCCCAATTTTTCAAAGTTGGGTCTTGCCAATTGGGTCTACATTTTAAAACCTCACAATGACATGCCAGAGCTGTGACAATCGGCATTTTCATAGAATCCCATGAAATTTGATGATTTTGCACTGTCACCAGGCTGGTGTGTCAAATGGGGTCCTACTGGTAGGTTGGAAAAAGTCTACCATGGCCTACTGGTTAGGGCCTTGGGCGTGTGTCTCGTTCGAATGCCGACCAGGAGGAAAGTGGCTGTGTGGAAAGTGAAAGTGGGTGGGGAAAGTTGTTGAACATCGCTGTCCTGTCCACATCCACGGCTAAGGTGCCCTTGAGCAAGGCCCCAAACCCTTCATTGCTCCCCGGGCGCCGCATCAGCTGACTGCCCACTGCTCTAGTGGTTAGGAGTTAGTGTGTGTGACCTCACTGTGTGCTGTGTATGTGCGTCTCTAATTCACGGATAGGTTAAATGCAGAGACTGAATTTCCCTAACAGGATCAAAAGAGTGTATATAATTAAATAGTGCAGCTCAGAGGGAACATAACTTGAAATAGTGATGTATCATGCAGACACCACCACTACTCACTTTTTACCCAGAGGAGACATAATGTGTGTTGCACTTGTGACAATGTGTGTTGTGCTCTGATGGTCATTCGAGCAAGCATAGATCTTTGTTTGATACCCTGATGTACTTTATCCTTCACACTCTGCTTGTCTCACACATAAATGTATTAGTGAAGTCTCCTACATCTACATTCACGAGTTCACACTTACATCAATTAAACAGAGTAAAGATTATGCGTATTTGGCGTGCTGTCCGGGGGGAGGGCTCCGAGCTCGGAATTTTGCCCGAACCCAGAGTACTCCCCCCGTTGTTGTAAGAGTATTAGGACTATGAGTGAGGAGATGGGGTGGTGGAGGGATGCTGTTAAACTGTCAATGAACGGAGGTAAGTTTGCTGTATATATACACAGCGCTTAACTCGTTGATTAAGCACCACTCGTGTCTAATTAGGTTTGATTATCTGAATGTGCTCCACGTGTGTTTAATTAGGTTTAATTATCTGAACGTGCTCCTCCCGAACTTTGTTAATAAAACATCATTTCACGAGTTCACACTTACATCAATTAAACAGAGTAAAGATTATGCGTATTTGGCGTGCTGTCCGGGGGGAGGGCTCCGAGCTCGGAATTTTGCCCGAACCCAGAGTACTCCCCCAAAAGGCAAAAAGAGCAAAGGACAGCCGCCAGACTTAAGACCCCCCAAAACGCAGAGAATTTGGCGGGCTGGCGTTTTGAGAATGAGCCTGGTTGCTTGAGCAGGAGGGCCTGCTGGCTCACGAACGGGAAGCAGTCGTAATTTGGAACAACAGTCGGGAGGGCTCGCACCGTTTCTCGACGGGAGCAGCTCACAGCGTCAGACAGGCGAGCTCTACCGGCCGATGAACAGCGTGATTTATGCCGCCTGACCAGGAGGGCCCGTGTTGCCTCTGGCGGGAGCAGCTCACTGCGCTGGGCGGACGGGCCCTACTGGTTGACAAGATTTGGGAATGCCCAACCAGGAGGGCCCATGTAGCTTCCGACGGGAGCAGCTCACAGCGTCGGGCTGATGGGCCCTACCGGCTGACGGTGGAGTGGCGCGTTTTTTGGAAGCCCGGACTGGAGATTTCTTGCTGTCCGCTGGGAAATCGATACCTGTTGGATGGGAAAGAGAAAACATAGATGCATGCAAAGTCCGCTGGGAGACCAATGCTCGCTGGACAGAAAAAGAGGAAACATAGATGCTTGCAATGTCCGCTGGGAGACCAATGCTCGCTGGACAGAATTATGCAATGTCCGCTGGGAGACCAATGCTCGCTGGACAGAATTATGCAATGTCCGCTGGGAGACCAATGCTCGCTGGACAGAAAAGAGGAAACATAGATGCTTGCAATGTCCGCTGGGAGACCAATGCTCGCTGGACAGAAAAAGGAGAAAACATAGATGCTTTGCAATGTCCGCTGGGAGACCAATGCTCGCTGGACAGAAAAAGGAGAAAACATAGATGCTTGCAATGTCCGCTGGGAGACCAATGCTCGCTGGACAGAGGAAGAGGAAACATAGATGCATGCGACGTCCGCTGGGAGACCAATGCTCGCTGGACAGAGAAAGAGGAAACATAGATGCATGCAACGTCCGCTGGGAGACCAATGCTCGCTGGACAGAGAAAGAGGAAACATAGATGCATGCAACGTCCGCTGGGAGACCAATGCTCGCTGGACAGAGAAAGAGGAAACATAGATGCATGCAACGTCCGCTGGGAGACCAATGCTCGCTGGACAGAGAAAGAGGCATCACGTAGGGGTTTTAACAGGAATATTAATTCTGAATAGTGAGGTACTGGAGAGGAGACATCACTGCTGCGGCAGTGGAAAAATAGCCAGAGAAACAGAGCTCCTGCGGGAGCAGAGGAGACATCACTGCTGCGGCAGTGGAGAAAATAGCCAGGGAAACAGAGCTCCTGCGGGAGCAGAGGAGACGTCACTACTGTGGCAGTGGAGAAACTTACCTGGAGAAAAAAAGAGCTCCTGCGGGAGCAGAGGAGACATCACTGCTGCGGCAGTGGAGAAAATAGCCAGGGAAACAGAGCTCCTGCGGGAGCAGAGGAGACGTCACTACTGTGGCAGTGGAGAAAATAGCCAGGGAAATAGAGCTCCTGCGGGAGCAGAGACATCACTGCTGCGGCAGTGGAGAAAATAGCCAGGGAAACAGAGCTCCTGCGGGAGCAGAGACATCACTGCTGCGGCAGTGGAGAAAATAGCCAGGGAAACAGAGCTCCTGCGGGAGCAGAGGAGACATCACTGCTGCGGCAGTGGAGAAAATAGCCAGGGAAACAGAGCTCCTGCGGGAGCAGAGGAGACGTCACTACTGTGGCAGTGGAGAAAATAGCCAGGGAAACAGAGCTCCTGCGGGAGCAGAGGAGACATCACTGCTGCGGCAGTGGAGAAAATAGCCAGGGAAACAGAGCTCCTGCGGGAGCAGAGGAGACGTCACTACTGTGGTAGTGGAGAAACTTACCTGGAGAAAAAAAGAGCTCCTGCGGGAGCAGAGGAGACAGCCAGAGAAACAGATCAGATTATTTTATTTAATGCCATGTCGGCATCCAGAGCTATTTTCATGGCAAAAATTCAATCACAAAAATACAAATATCATATAAATACAATAAAAACAAAGCAAATATAAACAACAAGTCATATTATATAATATTTATATTTAAATTAACATGATAAAAAATCTAAAACCTTTTCAGGCATAATCTCATTAAATATGTCCTTCAATGAAGAAACTTCATAAAAGAGCATTCTGCTTGCATGAAGGGCAGAACAATCTAATAAAACATGTTTGACAGATAAGGGAATTTTACAAAACATACACAAAGTTGGGTCTTCAACTTTAAGCAAAAAGCATGGGTCAAACTGTGTCCAGAGAAACAGAGCTCCTGCGGGAGCAGAAAACTTACCTGGAGAAATGAGCTCCTGCGGGAGCGGAGAAGACATCACTGCTGCGGCAGTGGAGAAATTTACCTGGACAAATTGAGTTCCTCTGGTGTGAGGCTGAGCAAAGGGAGGAGTAGGTTGGGGCCTGGTGGGCCGATGCTCGTCTTCTTGCGCGTTAATCAAAAACGCGAAGAGGTGGTGAGAGATTAAATCCTTGCAGGATTATGCGCATCTGAAGTTTAAGTGGCCGAGCAAAGATAGCAGTTCGCGTTTTAGAACAGTGGGAAGGTGGGCGAGATCAAAATATCCTATCGATTTTTTCTTGTGCAGTGAGGCCTGGAAAACAACTGTATCCAAGTTAATGCCCAGAATTCAAATGGACGAGGCTGAACCCATGGTTTTAACCTGTGCAATTGGAATCCCGAGCTCAGCAGAAACTGTGCGGGGCTGAGAGATCGATTATTAAACGTACGAAAATGTTCTTATTTTCTCCGTTTATTTCGTTTATTTTGATCATTTCTATGGGTCATATTACCTGCCGATTTGTTCGTTCTGAATCAGAAAAACCAATAGTGAAACTGTGGCTTTAAACTAGCCTACCTACTTAAAAAAAGAAATAAAATAAAAATAAAAATGCATTTATGCTATAACCTTGAGTTTCTAAGCGATTTTTGTAAATAAATTGCAGGACAGTGTTAACGAAAGGTTCTTAATGATTCTGTCTGTGTGCAATCTGCACGTAATGTGCGACCTATTGTTTACGTGTGAGTTTACCAAAAGGAAGCATCGCGTTAATGAACGGCAAATCATTGTACGGAAACTATTTAAAACGCGCGTTCCCCCGATCAAAATTAGTATCCAGATAGCATAACTTGCTCGTGATTCAACCACTGAAGTGATACGAAGTTCAATTAGGGACAGAAAACGAAAAGGTTTTGAGCTGAGCACTCACAGAGTTGACCCGGCAGATGTTGAGTGTGGACTGACCGGGACTGAATCTGCAGCGCGGCTTACTTAGGGCCTGCTGGGGCGGCCTGACGCTGGAGGAAGACCCGTTCCTTCGAATTAAGAGGGCGGCATTGCCTTATGACCATTTCTCTATGGCAGGAATTATTGAATGGGACAGTTTAAAGAAATACGCGGAAGTAGATTGCTGATGTTTCGCCCGCGGTGGCGAGGACCCATTTGTTTGGCCTGACGCCCACGAGATAATACCAGAGGATTGTGGCAAAGATTCCTAATCCTGAAGGACGAAAGATTCTTCATCAAACGGGAAGCGCTCGATTCGGGCATGTTAGGAAGGTACTGCGGGGCCAAATGCTGTTAAACTGTCAATGAACGGAGGTAAGTTTGCTGTATATATACACAGCGCTTAACTCGTTGATTAAGCACCACTCGTGTCTAATTAGGTTTGATTATCTGAATGTGCTCCACGTGTGTTTAATTAGGTTTAATTATCTGAACGTGCTCCTCCCGAACTTTGTTAATAAAACATCATTAGTTACAATAATGTCGGTGATAACATACTTGCTCAACTTCCTCTCCAACAGTGTTCCCTGCTCCATCCTGATTCCTGCCGCCCCATCTCACCTGCAACATAGTGTTGGATTAATTTCATACCATAACTTTAAAAATCTAATGTTATGCAATCATGGATTATGTGCACATTAAAATCACTTTCACATTAAAGGTGTCATATTTTATCTGCATAATATACTACACAAGATATCATAATCAAAGACTTACAATTTAGTATATTGCCACTAATACCTGATTAAAATAATAAAAAACAATCATTGCTCGGCTTTTCGCATTAGCTGCCTGCTGGCTACTGTTGCATCTGAATTTCAGTAATTTGAGGTACCTCGCATTTTGCTGTATGAGCTTTGGCATGCATCACACTGAGAAATGGCATCATTTCCATCAGCGGTTGAAGATCTGATGATTCTTCAGTCACTTTGCTTAGGTATGGCCAGTACCTAAAAAGAAGCACAGCATTAGTAGGCATTAACCAACACTTTGCCTGGCCATCAATATAAAACGACTGAAAAAAAAACAGGCACTTGACACTTAATGTACAGTAGGTTGACCGAGTTTCAATATGACAGAGAAAAATTACCTGCAGACAACATCCATGCAGAAGAAAGTGACATTGGCCCTCTGACAATTCCCTCTGTAAAAACATTGGGTAGGCGAAGACCTCGCCACGGTAGTGGTTCAGTCCTCGCAGCAATATCCCGTGTCTGATACACAAGAGGACAATATGGTTAATGATCAATTTACACAATGAGACCTGTGGAAAACAAAGCTAATCAAAACCCTCTATTCAAAGCCTCTCAGTCTCTCTCTCTCACACACACACACACACACACATTTCCCCATCAATCTCTACATATGTGACTAACTGAGCTTTAAAACAATCTTCTAGGGAAAAAAAATCTGTTAAGGGGATTTACTTTACTTCCCATAAGGAAATTAAACATGACTCTGATACATTTATCCACAAATGAGTTTCCACAGCGTGTAACAAATGGCATCTGTACAATTGCACACTTCTGATCTACCCACATACCTGCAGGCTGCCACTTGTATCCCCTCTTCATCTATTTTGGACGATGATTTTTTTGACGTCTCCTTACTCGCCCTGAATCTTGAAACGCCACATGTTCCACTGTTATCTGCCTGTAAAGTCAGATATCACTCGTCTTAACAAATAGAAAACAGAAAAGACACTCAAACATAAGCAGTAGATATACTGTCTTAATATGCAATATTAGACATACTCTTGTCATGCTGCTGCCTCTGACATTGTTGAGAAAGGCTGATACCTCCTCATCTTTGGCAAGAAATAACCCCTTGTACAGAGAGGGTTCCTCATTCCTGTCCATTAAAATTGATCACAAAAAAAATCCTCTTTTAACTGACCAAACATGACTCTACATGCAACTATTTCTATGACAATGCTGTGGTTTTGATATTGAGATTAATGCCTGTGTAATATGAACATACCCCCTTGATTTTTTGGAGCGATAATGTTTGCGATTGCCATCGCAACACACTGCCAACATGTCTGGGTGACATGCTGGACAATAAAAGTCATTTACTTCACACATCACCTCTTCTGTATGCTTGCAAAAACAATATTCGAAAAAGCTTTTCTGGAACGTATCTGCACAGACATTCCCCGGCTATGACATAAAAAAAAAATTGTGTTTACAGAAAAGAAATTTTACAATATTACAGTAATATGATTGTGTGTAACAATGATTCAAGCCGATTTACCCTTCCAGCCTGAACAGAACGGTGCTCCAGTAGCTTTAGAAAGGCATGCCTTGACATCGAAGGAGCCGATACTTTGATGTGAGCAAAAGCTTCAAAGACATCAAAACTATATAGTGTCTGGCAGTTTGTTGTGCTTGGCCAGTAACGGTACCTGAGGAGCTCTTTCACCCCTGGGGTCCATTCCACAAGGCAGGTAGGACAAACTTTACGGGGCAAACAGACATCATATCGCCCTGTGAAAAAAGAGACACATTAAACATGTGTTTCACAGAATCAACTTTTTCCAACTCAACTGTCCCTTATTAATTCACTGTAGTATTTGATATAGCATTAACATTTGGCAATTGGTATATTTCTCAAGAGAAAAGCTTTGCCTTGATTGCAATTGTTAACTTCTGCGGTACAACGAAACAAAAAGCAGGACTTTCCAAACTTACCATTCATGGTGACCACAGAAATATGCTTGCCAGAGGTGACCTCAATCTCATAGGTGCACTCACATAGTGTCCTATGTGCGGGCAATGGCAACTGACATACTGCAATGCAAAGAGGTTGTTACATTTTTCCTCAATCGAGAAGGTATATCACTTGTCATATCAGTGATTCAAAACCAACATCTACAAATTAGACAACTCTACCATGTCATTATCACTGTTTGCTTACTAATAGCACGTTTCATAGTCAAAGCCAAACAAAAACAATTTCTTCAATCAAAGAGTGATTCAAATTAAGAGTTTTTAAACCTTTTCCATTGACAAAGTATATCAACAAAGAATATTTGTGAAATTAGTAATTACCCTTTACTAGTCAACATAAATTGTTAATAAATAACATAACATACTCTGCTCACAAAAGTGAGGCTGGCCGTTTTCACCCATCACCACAGCCTTTGTGGGGGGAATAGGCTCCAGGTAGCCATGGAAAAGTGCCTCCCTGCCATGGAACATATTCTTTTTGTGAGCCTCCATGTCGCATCCTCCACATAGATACTCCATGTCCAGTGGCACACAATCCAGGCACCTAATTACTGCCTCTACGGCACCGCACCTGTGACATTTTTGGTAGAAGTCTCTTTCAGCGGACAGTTTAGCATCGAGCAGCACTGGCCTTGCTGCTTTTGCCCTTGTATCAGCGTGTAGCTGCCGCTGTGCCCATGCTGTTTTTTCAGCTGCCACATTAACCTCAACTGAGTCAAGAGTGTCCCTCAGCTGTTGAAGACACGTTTCTGAAAATAAATGAAAATAAATAAATAACTGTTAAACAACCCTTCGATTGAGTGAAGGCACAATAGATAAAAAATTACTTAATACTGAATGGTACGACAATAATTATGACTTAAAATCTGACTTTGACCAAGCCATACACGACAGTGTCCATTCAATGTTGGTTTAATGTACTGTATATGGACTTGATCATGGTATCACGAACCATTGTATCACAATGGTCTCACAAACCGTGTAATATGCTTCCGATAATAGACCACTTTGAAATGAAGAGTTGGAGTGTCTATCACTTCCCAAAATAGGCAAGAATTTCTAAAAGCCAGCTATGCAAAAGCAATGAGTGCAGAATTGTAAAAAATTAGAATATAATGCACATGTTCTGTCTACAACAACAAAATACAAACACTTAATGTAGTTGCGTGGAGAAGAAGTGTGAGACATCAACAACAATGAATCGAGGAAAAGTTTACAGGGTCATTAGAAAAGTTGTTGATATGGAGGAATAGGAAATGTAGTTATAGGGATTATACAGACATACTCACCAAGACTTGCAGTCATCTCTTCTTCGATCTGAGGGACTTCCTCAGACACTGTGATCACTTGAACTTCAGAAGCTGCAAAGGCCAATACAATAGGTTATCTATTCTATCAGGGTCTTACTGTAAAGCATCATATATTTTAGTCCAGAAAATTCACAATATTACATCATACATCTGGCTCAGTGAGCTCAAACCATCTTTTCACTCACCAACATTTAGATAATTATCATTATTAAACTATAACAGTGCTATAAACAACGAACCTAATGCACGACGTTCTGCTTTTTGACGTTTCTTACGTCTGTTACTTGTGGCCGCTGCGCTTGTGACTGCTTTCCCTCTCTTAGTCCTCTTTCTTTTTTGAGGGACATGGCTTCCCATTGCCATTGCAGCCTATATGAAAATAAAATATTAATGTTTTCTGATAGAATATCAGACTTATGGTTATGTTTGATGGACGCTTTTTTCCAAAGTAACTAACAATAAAAAACACAAAACTAAAACTACAAGATATAAAATGCTACACTACTCCAATGTCCATTAAATGTCTAGAACATCATACCTCAACAGCAACTACAACAATCAAACAATATGTAAATAGTGATTTTCAGAGACATGGGTGTAAGTTTATCAAAACTTCTCACCCTGGCCTCACGGAGAAGAGCCTTGCTAATTTCAGCAGCCATATGGCCCCTGACCTCATTGGGATCTTCAAAGACTCCTGGGTGGTTTTCTGACATGGTATACGCACAGATACAATACAAAAATACAGACAATAGACACACAATACAGATATGAAGATGAGTGTGTGTGTGTGTGTGTGCGCGCGCGCGAGCGAGAGAGAGAGAGAGAGAGAGAGAGAGAGAGAGAGAGAGAGAGAGAGAGAGAGAGAGAGAGAGAGAGAGAGAGAGAGAGAGAGAGAGAGAGAGAGAGAGAGATTAAAAGAGTGGCTTTTAAAAGTGCCTTTGTTTTTTTAAACGATAGAGAGAGCAATGGAGATAATATGTAAAACAGCAAATAATCTGTAGAACAGACAAGAAAGCATAATTAGATATACAGTATCTCTGAGAAAAAAATATAATGTCTACATTAATGCGAGACACTACAGGTGAATAGGGTAAACTTTTAAAATAATAGATATCACCATGAAACTTCCTCAGTTGATTAATTACACAATTAAGTATATAAAAACAGTGCATTATAAGTTTTTGAAATGTGTATGTTTAATTATGCAAAGTAGGCATTATCTCATTAAATATGCGCAATTTTGCATATATATTTTCGGTAACATAAATCTGAACATATGCATATGATAAAGCCAGGTGCAAAATTATTTTTTTATTTTGTTTACACACAAGATGGAAAAAGAATATCAGACGGATTTCAGGATAGGGCCTAACGTTATATGCTTTCATTAGCCTACTTATAATACTGGAGAAAAAAATCGATTTCCTCTATATTTTTTTGGTGTACATGATGGTGCTACATAGGATGAGATGTTGGTAACGTTACTGGATGGATGAAGAAATATAAACTCATTTTGAGAAAACATTAAATATTTGTAATGTAAAAACGCATACTTTTTTTAGAGAAAAACAACTACAGACACGATATCATGTCAACTATTTAGCAATCAACAATACAAGCCATCTAAAACGCATTAAAACTTATAATTCAACATTTATAGATAGTAAATAAGTAGCAGGTCTGAGATACATACCGATTTGTAGAGGGGATCCTCGCAATGACGGAAAAACCGCGAAAGTGGGGTCGCCGTCATGGCAACAGACTCGTCCGATTTAACATTAATTTATAATTAGTCTTTATCATTTTTTTTTCGTTGTCTGTATATGCCTATATCTGTCAATTGAGTAAACATAAAAAAAATTGTAAACTAGTCCAAATATTATTTACACAAGATGATGGATGGGGAGTTTGATTGATCAAGCCTGCCTCTAGTTATATCCGGTTATCCGTGTGTCCCGTCACGGAAGAATCCGTGGTGCCATCACAGAATTTGTCAATAAGCAAAAGGCTATAGAAACTGGTCAGGGGAGATAATATGTTCACAGTTTAATTAGGCTACATGCATCACAAACACAAGACAACTTGAATAGCCTACTGAAAGTGTCAAAATCAGCAATAGGCAATCTCGAGCAGTGAAGGTGAAAACAATCTGTGGGCGAACGACTGAATATTCCGTGGTCCCGTCACGGAAGAATCCGTGGTGCCATCACAGAATTTGACAAAAAGGAAAACTGTTACAAACTGATCGGGGGAGATAATATGTTCACAGTTTAATGAGGCTACATCGCAAACACAGACAACTTAATAGCCTAAAGTGTCAAAATCAGCAATAGGCTATATCGTCCAGTGAAGGTGAAACAATCTGTGGGCGAACGACTGAATATTCCGTGGTCCCGTCACGGAAGAATCCGTGGTGCCATCACAGAATTTGACAATAAGTAAAAACTGTTACAAACTGATCGGGGGAGATAATATGTTCACAGTTTAATGAGGCTACATTTCATTGCAAACACAGACAGCTTGAATAGCCTAAAGTGTCAAAATCAGCAATAGGCTATATCGTCCAGTCCAGTGAAGGTGAAACAATCTGTGGCGACCACTGAATATTCCGTGGTCCCGTCACGGAAGAATCCGTGGTGCCATCACAGAATTTGTCAATAAGCAAAAGGCTATAGAAACTGGTCAGGGGAGATAAGAGGTTCACAGTTTAATTAGGCTACATGCATCACAAACACAGACAACTTGAATAGCCTACTGAAAGTGTCAAAATCAGCAATAGGCAATCTCGAGCAGTGAAGGTGAAAACAATCTGTGGCGACCACTGAATATTCCGTGGTAGCCTACGGTCACGGAATTCAGGGTGACCAGACGTTATCCGATCAAACGACGACAGAACAATGCAATATCAAGTTAAAATCACCTTAAAACTAAATATTTAAAGTAAAGTACTTTAGGTAAACTCAGAATATTTAAAGCGATACCTTTCCAAATTATAAAACGACGTCAATTTGGGGGAGCGCGTGTGTTGTAACTGTCCGTGTGTGGACCACGGATGCTGCCTGTCATTGACTTACATAGGCATCATTTCCGTGGGCAAATCACGGAATTTTCGGCAATTCCGTGAAACTGCCACGGATTTTGAGTTAAGGGTCCGTGTTCATTTCACGGAATTCTGTGAGATCAGGTTGTTGTTTCATATTCTTGAGCATTGATGAAACGTCAGTAAAGTGATGCGTTAGTTATACTATTGCAACTAGTACATAGTAAAATTTCAATTAAAAATAAATCACAATAACACGCAAAATGATTTTAGAACAAATTTGATGTCATTGATGTATCTGGACTTTTTGTGTTCTAGGGCTCAGTTCTGGATAGAACTCTTTGGGGACCTTAGAAATGAAGGACACTTCAATGGCAGCAACGAACACCAGTTCCTGCTTCAGTTCTGCTTCCAAAATGTTCTGCAGGCGGACTTGGATGAATGTGTAAAACTTTGGAATAAGCACAGGATTAGGCCCTCTAGACTTGCAATGTGCCCTGGAGGGGTACCAAATTAACTGTATCATCTACCACACAGGTCAGCAAATCAAAAATCTATACAAATTGCATTTTATAACAGTGATTTAATAAGCTTGTTTAAAATACACCATTACAAAAATCACATTGTATAAAGTGTATACTAAATACATTTACAAAAAATTTAACTTTCAGGTATGGATCAAGGGACTGTGGCTTTGTAGTTGATGACAGCGAGTTAAAGGGATAGTTCGGCCAAAAATGATATTTAACACATGCATTACTCACCCTCAAGCCGTTCGAGATGCATATGTCAATCTTGTTTCAGACGAACACATTTTCAGTTATTTTAGAAAATGTCTTAGACCCTTCAGTGGATATAATGTGAAGCAATGGGGTCCACCTCCTTCAAGTCCCAAAATGTGCATACATCCTTCACAAAAGTAATCCATCCGGCTCCAGGGGGATAAACGAAGGCCTTCTGAGGGTAATCCGTGCGGTTTTGTCGTAAAAATATACATATTTAAAACTTTATAAATGAAAATATCTGACTTCCGGCAACGATCGACGCGCGTTCACGGGTGAACTTAGTGGAGTTTTGTTTTGCTCTGCTCTCTGGCTGCCCAGGCACGTTCGTTCTACGTCACGACGGTTCCTACGCGACGTCCTACCTCGTACGCCGACTTCCATCACCCGTGAACGCGCGTCGATCGTTGCCGGAAGTCAGATATTTTCATTTATAAAGTTTTAAATATGTATATTTTTACGACAAAACCGCACGGATTACCCTCATAAGGCCTTCGTTTATCCCCCTGGAGCCGGATGGATTACTTTTGTGAAGGATGTATGCACATTTTGGGACTTGAAGGAGGTGGACCCCATTGCTTCACATTATATCCACTGAAGGGTTCACTGACAGAGAGAACGCAGTTCACTTAAAGGGTTAATTCACCCAAACGGATATTTCTGTCATTTATTACTCTCCCTTTCTCAAAGTTACGCTTGAGAGACATGAGACGCCTCAGAGCCTGTGACCTGTTGTCAGGGAGCCATGGGCGTGGGCTCTTGAAGGGTAATGGCGCCACCCAACTGTTGTTTGAGTCTTTTTGTAGTCCTTCATCCATTATCTCCATGAACGTTGTATCTTGAATGGAGGGAGCTACCTGGTTGTCATCCCTGGTCCGCCTGAACACCATGCATCCAAGGTGGTTGGTTTCATGGATAGGCTGGTCCTCAGGATACGCTTGAGGCTCACTGGTGGCCTGGGTGTCACTGAACCTCTCCTTCACATGGAACACGTTGGGGCACGCGTCAAAGAGAGTGGGCCGTTGCAGCTCCGTGGTGTTCATGTGGAACGTGCTAATTGTCAATGGCCTGTGAACATTACCTAAGCACACATTTCCAACAATGACCCACCCAATGACACGACTGCCGTCTTTCCAGCCCTCATAGTTCAAAAGTTTATGAATACAGCTCTCAGTAACAGTAGATACCATAGAGCTAATGTCGACCACACATGGTACTTAAAATCCACCTATCCATATGACAAGATAGGGACATAACTCTGAACCCATCAGAACAACCGAGCCTGTCTTTCCCCAATCAAGCTGTGGCCCCACAGTTCAGCGAGAACTATTTTTCCGACGACTGTCAAGATGGTGACTGCGCACTTCTCATTAAAAAGGAATCTGCCAGTACTGATGGAAAACGAAGCGCACAGTCCGCTACCTGCCCCATGAATTGATCACGCAATGCCTGAATAATTTTCTCCGGATACTCCCCCTCGTCCCTCGACCGATAACGAATCTCTTCCCCTGCTTCTCCCTCCAGATGATCAACCAAAAAATGCCTGATCAGTATATTGTAATTCATCGTCCATGATTACGAATCACGCAACATCACTT